GAATTTCCTCAGATCCTTTCTGCATCCTCTGACTTGTGTCTTTCTGTCCTTCATTCTGTATATGTCATGAATCATGTTTACTGATATGTTTAAGTTGGACTATCCTTGCATTCCTGAGGTGCATTTAACTTGATAGTGGTAAATAATTTTTTAATACCCTATTGAATTCTGTTTGCTAGTATTTGTTGAGGATTTTTGCATCTATGTTCATCAAGGTTATTGGCCTAAAGTTTTTGTTGTTGTTGTTGACTTTCTGTAGCTTCAGTGTCAGAGGAATATTGTTTGTAGATTGTATTTAGAATTCATTCCTCTTCTGTTAACTGAAGAATTGTTAATTAGTTCTTTAAATTTTTTGTAGAATTCATCAAGGAAGGCATTTGATCCTGGGCTTTTCTGTGATCAATTTTTTGTTTGTTTGGGGATTTGTTTGTTGGTTTGTTTGTTTTATCAAACTCAGGACCTTGCACTTGTGAGACAGGCAGCAGCACCACTGAGCTAAATCCCTGCCCAGTGATAGATTTTTAAATTCAATGGTCTTGTTACTGGTCTGTACAAGTTTTCTGTTCTATGTTTCAGTCTTGGTAATATGTATATATCTAAGAATTTGTCTATGTTTTCTATATTATTAAATTTGTTGACATTTGTTCATGCACAGTACTCTGTGATGATACTTTACATTTTTTTTATTTTTAAAGTTATTATATTATTCCTTTTTAATAAGTAGCAAGTGGCCCCAGGGACAGGGGACTAGGAAAGAGATAAAATGGTGATGCTTCAGCCCCATATCTCTTCCCCACTGACTTGTTTCCTCATATAATTTACAGATGTTTATATTTCTTTATTGTCAATCATAGTATTTCCTTTTTCATCTCTGAGTTTAGTTATGTGAGTATTCTCTTTGCTAATCAGAGGGTTAGTCTATTTTGCTTATCTTTTCAAAGAACCAGCTGTGTTTCCTTGATTTTTTTTCAATGTAGTTTCCCCTCAATTTCTTCCATTTTTTTCCATCTCACTTAATTCTGTTCTTATTTTTACCATTTCTTTTCTTCTGATAATTTGGGTTTTCTGCTTCCTTGAGTTTTGCAATAAGTTGTTTCTTTCTGATCTTTGTACTTTTTTGGTGGTGGTGGTTGTTTTAAAACCATTCGTTCCTCTTGCTGTTGTTTTTTTTTAACATTAAGTTTATTGGTGCATACATTATGATTGTATTTATCTTGGGAATTTGTACCTATGCAGGTTATATCTTGGTTCTTGTTTTTACCCCATTCCCCTTCCTTCCCTTCCACCCCTTCAACTCTCCCTATTTAAAAAATTTTATTTCTATTTTTTTCTTCTTTTCACATTTTTTACTTCCCTTCTTTCCTTTCTCCCACCCCCTCCCTACTTTTCCTTCCTTTTTGGAAACTTTTCTTCCTAGTTTTTATTATCTATTATACATTTTGGTCCTCATTTATTCTTGAAGTTTCTCACACCAGAAAAACTATTTGGCATTTACACATGTGTCCTATTTATTTCTCTTAAGAGTCTGGCCTCACTCTGCATCCATTTAGCTATAAATATCTCTAGTTTTCATTCTTTATAGCTGAGTGGTACTCCATTTTATTACACACACGCGGACACACACGCGCGCGCACACACACACATGCACGCACGCACACCTTTATCCAGTCACCATTTCATGGGCATTTGAACTGTTTCCAAAATTTAGCTATTACCAACTGTGCTGCTATAAACATGCATGCTCATATATTACTGTGGTTTGATGCTTTGAATTCTTTTGGGAAGATAGTCATCAGGAGAATAGCTGGGTCAAATGGGATCTCTAATCCTAGTTCTTTGAAGAATCTCTACACTCATTTCCACAATGATTGTACCAATGTACACTCCCACCAGCAGTGGAGAAGGGTTTCTTTCCCCCTCAGCCCCTCCAGCAGTTGTTGATGGCTTAGTTCTTGATAACAGCCATTCTTTCTGGAGTGAGATGGAATCTGTGTTAATTTTATCTGCAACTCTTGATTGGACCAGTGATGTTGGTTTATTTGCTGATTCTACTTCTTTGTCTGAGAAATGTCTATTCATTTCAGAAATGGATCAACCATCTAAGTATTGCACACTAAACCTGCTGGAAGATAGGTTAGGTAGAACTCTTGAAGGCATTGGCGCAAGAAAAGACTTTAAGAAGAAAACTTCAGTTGCACAACAACTAGCACAAAGAACAACTGGGATCTCATCTTCTCAAGCTTCTGCACAGAAAGAAAAAGCACAAACAAAATGAAGAGACAACCTACAATGTGGGGAAAATTTTTTACCAGCTCTTCCTCAGATAAAGGACTACTATCTAGAATTTATAAAGATTGTTTTAAAAATGAAACCCTCCCAAAATTTAAAGACCCATTCAAAAATGGGCTTCTGAAATGAAGAGATCTTTCTACTTTTTTGATGTGGGCTTTGAATGCAGTGAACTTCCCTTTTGGTACTGCTTTTGCTGTATTCTGTAGGTTTTGTTACTTTGTGTTTTCATTTCTATTTGTTTCAAAAAAAATTTTTTAAATATCTTTCTTGATTTCTTTTTAACCCACTGGTTCTTCAAATGCAAGTTTCATTTAATTCTCCTGTATTTGATTAATGAGCTAAGCTTTTTTAATTGATTTGTAGTTTGTATCATGGTCAGGAAAGATACTTGGTGTGATTTGAATTATAAAGTTTTTTTTAGACTTATTTTGTGACCTTTTAGGTGCTCTATCTATCTTGGAGAATGTCCTATGTGTTATTTAGAAAAATGTGTTTCCTGCATCTTTTCAGTATTCTGTAGGTGAATGTTGTATCCACTTATGGCAGCATGCCTGGTTTACAGATGGGTGTATACCTAAAAGTGGCCTGCTATAGCAGTACTGTCCCTTTCTGTTTCATGTCTGAAGGACAATGATGATGAAAGAAATGGACCATAATGGGCAGAATTTTATGCAATTTGCTTGGAAGGAAAAAATGGCAGAATGTGCAGCTATATACCACCAGTTCATGGGCTCAGGGCAGGACAGTCAAGGACTTGGAACATGATTGGAAAACTGATGACAAAGACATATAGATATAAGAGGGGTAGGAAATATGTGAATAGATTTCTCTGAATAGGCAAAGAACATAAAAGATATTCATGTCCCATGTAAGTGTTCACTAACAGGTGACCTCAACAGAAGAGGTCTTTAATAATCAAATAGACTGTATGACTTGTTCTGTGGAGTAGTTGAACTGTTTCTTCAGAGGAGAAACGCTGCTTATCACATCATGGAGCCAGAGAAGGGAGGAGTCAGGGAGAGAGATACACTCTTCCGAGTCATGCCCACAGTGACCTGCCTCTCCTAATCTGGTTCTGCCTCCTAACAATACATTCAGTTCAGAACTCTTCTTCTACATTGATGATATAGCTCCCTCATGATCCAGTTACCTTCCCAAAATCCCAACCCTAGTGCTTAAGTTTTGTGGACATTCTGTATTGAAACCATTAGTATTTCACCCCCAGCCCCCAAAAGATTCATTTACATCTCATTATGCAAACATACATGTAGTCCATCTCTAGGAGTCACCAAAGTTTTAAGAGTTCCAGCATTGCTGAAAAGTCCAAGTCCAAAGTCTCTTGAGTACTTGCTTCAGCAGTATATATGCAAAGTCACCTCTGAGCCTCAAGGCAGTTAGCTACGAGACCCTCCCTGTAAAAATGAAAAAGAATGGTAAACTTTTCCAATATAAAATGGTACAAGGTAAGCACCCCCATTTGAAAAAGGCGAAATAGGGAGACAGAAAGAAATTGAACCAAAGCAAGACTGAAATCCAACAGAACAGGCATTAAATCTGGTAGCTTTCTGTCTAGAATCCAGGGTACACTGTGGCAAGATGTCATTCCAAAGGGCTTGAATGACTCCAACCCAGTGGCACTGCTGTTCACTGCCCTTGTGCCCTCTCTTGTGCAGGAGTGCTTGTGCTTTCCTCAGCATACCTTCCACAATTTATGGTATTTCCAGTTTTCGGGAATCTACACTCTACTTTTGTTTTCACTCTTTCAGCTTCATGTACTGTCCTCATGGGCACACTGCCTGGTCTCCAAGGCTTTCTTCTGAAATCTGGGTGGAAACCTCCCTAATCCTACCACTCTGTATTCTATCAGTCAGTAAAACCACCACATTGATGGTGCCAAGATTTGCCCCCAGCTTGAGGAGTAGCCAGGCACTCTTTAATCATAGCTGCAGCAGCATCTGAAAATGGCTCTGAACATTCATCTCTGAACTCTTTATTGTATTAATTCATTGTATAGCACCACTGTCATCGAGTCCCCTTCCAAAAGCCTCTAAATACTTAAGAGTTTGGCTGACATTCCCTGTATAAACCATAATAGATATACTTTTATTTCCATTTCTTATTATGATATTCAAGGTTAGCTCCTTTAAATATATCTCCACTATATTCAGAGCCTTCCCTCCATTCTTTCTTCAGTCTTATTCCATACTTTGAACAGTTCTTGCCATGACCAAGTCACATGCAGTATTGAAAACATTTTCTTTTTGACAGACACCAGAATATGTTAGGACCTTAGATTTTTATTGAAAATATGCTTGGTTAATTGTACATCTGAAGAATAGAAATTTTCAACGTTTACTTTCTATCTAGACACTTCAACTGCCTTATAATTACAAATATGAATAACATCTCACTGACAGATTTGTTCACTTTTTAATTGTGTGGCTGTTTTTGTGTGTGCATAAAATATAAATAGCATATGATCAATTTTGTTTTGCTGTTTTCTTAACATGGTTTCACTGCTCTTCTCAGTTACAAAAAGTCCTCCCAACATTCTTTAACACTTTAAATAAAATGGCACTTTATTTTGGTCTTTATGTTTCACCTGTGTCAGGACCAGTTTTCCTCTCTCATTTTGTGTTGGTTCAAATTAAAAACATAGTCATGCTCACACAGTTAATGTGGTATTTATTTATTTCCTTATCTTTTAGGAGCTGTTAACATTCAGGGACGTGGCCATTGATTTCTCTCTGGAGGAGTGGGAAGACCTGGACTCTGCTCAGCAGAATTTGTATAGGGATGTGATGTTGGAGACTTATGGAAACCTGGTCTCGCTGGGTGAGGATAACTTCCCTACAGAATTTCTTCACTGTTAACAATTAATTTTCTTCCCTTTTTAGAATACTTCTTAGAATTTTCTGCTTTGCAAGAATAAGTTTCAGATTCCTGCTTTCAAAATAAAAATAGAGGTTTCTTGTTAGAAAAAAGAAAAATTTCATGTTATTGTCCTTTGGTTCCTTTTTTTGTTTCAGTTTTTTGTTGTTGTTTATTTGTTTGTTTGTTTTTGAGATAAGTTGTAGCTCAGGCTAGCCTTGAATTCATGATGTAGCCCCAGATTGGCTCAGATGCACACAGATCCTCTTACCTCAGGGATTACTGGTGTGCACTGCCAAGCCTAGCTGCTTTCTTTTTAATTGAAGTATCATATATCCTTTACTCTAGATTAGTGATAATACTAGAAATTCAGTGGCATAAAATATTACTGCCTATAATCTCAAAGCCCAATTTTGCCCAGTTTTAACTTTGAGCTAGTAATAGTTAAAAGTAGAACTTGGGGCCAGGGATTTAGCTCAGTGGCCCCACACCTGCTTCGCAAGTGCAAGATCCTGAGTTTGTTCACTGATAACAAAAGAAAAAAAAAGGGGCCGGGGATTTAGCTCAGCGGTTCGGTGGCCTGCCTTGCAAGCGCAAGGACCCGAATTCAATCCCCGGTACCCCCCAAAAAAAAGTAGAACTCAGGATCCGCGAATTGAAACTGCTTTCTACGTATTCTAGTGGATCAAAATGGAAATGGCATCTGGAGAGATAATTTTCTTGAATGTTGTATTATTTTTTTTATATTGAGTACATACTGGGAGATAAATGTCAGTAGTTGCTGGGAAATATTAAAGCGAGTGTCATTTACTATTTTCCAATGAACAGGTCTTGCTGGCTCTAAGCCATACATGATCACTTGCCTGGAGCAAAGCAGAGAGCCCTGGAATGTGAAGAGACAAGAGACAGTAGTGATACACCCAGGTAGGTGGGAGTGGGAATGGATGAAGCAGAAGACACAGGTGAGAGATCCAAAGTCTAAAAAGGAAGTTAGGCTTTAAAATGTGGATTCAGAAGCTCTGTTCCATTAGAAGTGATTCTCAGAAGTGAAAATGTATTCCTCTTGCTGTCACAGGAGTATGTGCCTGGCCCTGTGTTCCTAATGCTGTTAAATCTAAAGAGAAGTATCCTTCTCTTCCAATTATCTTCTTATTTCCTGCTAAGAGACCCCTGCAGTTAGATTCTAGTCTCTTGCTCAGTATGCGATGCGAGGCTGAAGAAAAAAATACACTAAAGACAGAACTAAGAAAGAAAGCAGGGACTGGGATGGCCAAAGACCTCTGTCAGTCACAGCCACTGATTTTTGTTGTTCATCAGTTGGGATAAAGGTGCTTTACGTGTACAGATGTGCAGTTAGTGCAGTTACTATGGAAACTAATGCGGGCAAGGCTTTAAAGAGAAGAAATAAAGCATTCTCAAATTAGAAGCAAGATACGGTTGTAATTAGAATATTGCTCTTCTGGTTATGAAGGCACTAATTGTGACAGTGGAATTTGGGTGCGAATTACTCCAACCTTGGCTATGCATGTTACCTCATATTAGCCCTACAACTTCATAGGCCATTGCTCTAGACTCGACTGTGGCTGTCATTGGAGAGGTCACATTGACCTGGGCACTACCACGGAGCTCATAAGATGCTTCTGTGAGTCACGTAGCGTCAGTAAGACTCTCTTGTTAAAGTAAGCCAGTTGAGAGATTTAACTTTACAGCCTGCACTGCATATAGCATGCTTTGGGCATAATCAACATTACGGCTTTCTGCAGTTTTCTGTAAGGTACCTTTTCATAGGCTTTCATAAACTGTGCATTCATATTTTTAATTAGTTCAGTTAGCTCCCAGTTTTTATTTTATCTTTAAGCTTGCTGACAATTTTGATTTTAAATCTATCATCTGTTTGTTTATATCAGCCCTGAGCTTGCTAAGCACCTTTAATGATCTATTTGTTCATTTGATTACTTCGTATAATTAAGCTATATAAATTTTTTTTTCCTCTCCCTCCTTGGCTTTGCTTTTAGGGTGTCAGGATTTGGGGGAGGCATTTTGTTGCCATGTTTTCTCATGTTTGTATTTTTTTTTTCCCCCGTGAGAGTTGAGAATCAATTACAGTGGAAAGTTTGTTACTAAAGACTTCTTTAGTTGGGTGTATACTTTCCAGTAATGTGATCTTGGCTTTGTTTGCCTTTTGGTATTATCTCAACCTCTTCATCATACTCAGTTGAATAAGATCAGATCTCATTACTGTTTTTAATGGAAAGAATCCTTACTGATTATGTAAAAATCAGATTTTACCATACATCAGTTATGTACTATATTAAAATTTGTTTTAGCAATTTCACCCTTTATAGTATCAGTACCACTTGCAGTCTTCAGTCCTTCTTCTAAGAGATTGGGATGTGGAGACAAAGAGAGAAAAAAAAGGAAAAGATCAGGGGTTAAGTCAGTAAGAACTGAAAGAGGAAAAATATCAGTCAGTATAAAGCACACAGGAAATCAGAGTCTGTTGGAATTGTTTTAAAGCTGTAGTAAGGACTAGTTTTGAGAGCAGTTGAGAGAACATGGGAGCAGAAGGGTTGCAGACAAAAAAGATTATAATTAGAGTTTGATAATAACTGTGAGGTTGTTGGAACATGTTAATAAGTTAGTGTTTAGCTTATGTTTAGAGGCCCAGTTTAATGGATCATTTTGGTGAGGGTTGACCTCTAATAATGCTTGTGTTAATTAGTTAGATTTAGTAATTCTATCACCTGTATACTTCAAAATCTCATGATGAACATGACAAATACATATGCTTTCAATAATTAAATGGCAATTACATTTTTTTAAATGCAAAAATCATTTTTCAGGGCCACGGATTTAGCTTAGTTGCACTACCCCTGCATGACAAGCACAAGGTCCTGAGTTTGATCCCTGGTACCAGAAGAAAAAAAAGAAAGAATGGGTGCAAAAATCATTTTTCAGTCTCTGTGGTGGTATGATTCAGGAAATACTGACACCAATCAGCTCTTCTTGAGATTATTGGAACTTTTGAAACTTGTTTTCTTCACCTGTGTGTCCTTTAGACTTGTATATGTGTTTCTAGTTAAAAAAGATCTTGAAACTTATTCTCTCCTACTGCTTTTGACTGTGTTACTACTACCTTTTGCTAATGTAATAAATGCCTCTTATTTCAGCTGGCCTGAACTTTTTGTTTGTTTGTTTGTTTTTGGTACTGGGGATCAAACTCGGGACCTTGCACTTGGGAGACAGGCAGTGGAACCACTGAGCTAAATCCCCAGCCCTGGCCTGAATTTTTAATGAATTCATCACTGTAACTTCCTCAACTGGCTATACAGAAATCTATTTTCAAACAGCCTCCAGAAAAACCAGAAATATGTCCGTATGTTACACTAGCTTCTTTCATTCTTGAGCAAGAAGAAAGTGGTTTTTCATAATTACACAGTGCTGGCAGGGGTAAGGGGAAAAAATGAGAATCAAGACTTGTCATGTAGAGGTACAAGATCCCAACAATGAATGTAACTGTATTGTATCCCTAAAATGTACCAATAAACTCAATTAAAGCTGAAAAAAAAATAATAATAATTACACAGCGTTGTATCAGGAGAAGAGCTGTGCTAGACAAAAGCAAACTTTCCCAGCAACCTTCTTTCCCTCTATTGTATGACTCCTTTGTGTTGTGGTCACCTAGTGTGCTGTGTACAGTTAACTATTTGGAATTTTCACTGAGGTAATCTGGTCAGTATATTATTGTTAGGTTCATATATCTGTGGAAGAAGAAGACAGGGCCTTACGTTTAGTATTCTGCTGTCCTACTAATACCTTCAGCTTAATATATGTATATAATAGTACTGAGAATGAACTCTCAGGCCAAGGATTTAGCTCAGTGGCACCAAGCCTGCCTTTCAAGTGCAAGGTCCTGAGTTCAATCCCTAGTACCAAAAAAAAACAAAGCATGGACCCTCAGTCCCTATACTGACCTATACTGAGCTATATTCCAGCTTTCCAGCCCTCTTCCCCTTTTATCCCCCTCCCGCCTTTAAAGACTCTTTCCCACTAATTCATGGGTTGGGCTTAAATGTGCAGTCCTTCTGGCTCAATGTCCCCAGGTGGTGGGATTACACGAATGCACCACCAAGCCCAACATTGGTATGCTTTTCATATATATTAGAATTGTAAACTGTATGCACCTGAGTCTCATTTGTGGCATAATTTGTTATTCTGATTTCTTTCAGCTGTGTCTTCTTATTTTACCCAAGACATTTCATCAGAACAGCATAAAGAACACTCATTCCAAAATGTGACAGATGGAAGATACAGAATTTGTGGTCATGACAACTTACACTTAAAAAAAGAATGGGAAAGTGTGGGCAAGTGTGATGGTCAGAATGCATGTTATAATGGATATAATAAATTTATGACAACTAAAGAAAGCAAAAACTTTACTGCCAGCAGAGATCAGGAATACATAGTATCTCCAAAAAAACCTGAATTTATGCCTGCTGCTTTAAAAGACCCATGTGTTTTTGTAAGTCAACATTCACACCAGATTTTGAAACATGCCTTTTCTCTCAAAGGAAATTTGGGAAATCTAAAGATGAGACCAGTCCATGCTTCAGTTGATCACTTGAAAAATTTTAAATGTAGGATTGGATTAAATTTTCAGGCATTTGTTTTAGTAGACAATAGATTTAAAAGTGATGAACAAAATCCTAAATTTAATCAATTTAGTTCATTTATGAAAGGTTTGTTATTCTGCAATCAACAAAAAGGTCTTCCCTATACCAAGTTGTACAATTTTCATAAGTATGGAAAATTATTTACCCATCAGTTATTGCACACTCAAAATCCAGATATAGATATCTATAAATGTATGGAATGTGGCAAAGCTTTCAAATGTTCTTCAAACCTTACTCTACATAAGAGAATTCACAGTGGAGAGAACCCTTACAAATGCAGAGAATGTGGCAATGCCTTTAATAATCGCTCAGACCTTACTCAACATCGAACAAGTCATAATGGAGAGAAGCCATACAAATGTGAAGAATGTGGCAAAGCCTTCAAGTGTTGTTCACACCTTACTCGACATCAGAAAATTCATACCGGAGAGAAGCCATACAAATGTGAAGAATGTGGCAAAGCCTTTAATTGCTGTTCACACCTTACTCGACACCTGAGAATTCATACTGGTGAGAAGCCCTACAGTTGTGAAGAATGTGGTAAAACCTTTAGACATGGTTCAAATCTCACTCAACATCAGAGAATCCATACCGGTGAGAAGCCTTACAAATGTAAAGAATGTGGAAGAACCTTTACTCATTGCTCAACCCTCAATCAACACCAGAGAATTCATAGTAGAGAGAACACTTACATATGCAAAGAATGTGGCAGGGCCTTTAATACATTCTCAAGCCTTTCTATACATCATCGAATACATACTGGAGAAAAACCTTACAAGTGCCAGGACTGTGGCAAAGCCTTTAACTTTCGTTCTGACCTTAATAGACATAGGAGAAATCATAATCGAGAGAAGGTATACAAATGTAAAGAATATGGCAAAGTTTTTAATAACTGTCCTAATCTTACACAACATCAGAGAATGCAAATGGGTGAGAAGCCCTACAAATGTAAAGAATGTGGCAAAGTTTTTAAATATTTTTCACACCTTACGCGGCACCAGAGAGTTCATAGTGGGGAGAAACCCTACAAATGTAAAGAATGTGGCAAAGCCTTTAATGAAAAGTCAAAACTTTTTCAACACCAGAGAATTCACACAGGAGAGAACCCTTACAAATGTATACATTGTGGCAAAGGCTTTAATAACTGTTCAAGCCTTACTCAACATCAGCGAATTCATACTGGAGAGAAACCCTACAAATGTAAAGAATGTGACAAAGCCTTTAACAGTTGTTCCCACCTTACTCGACATCAGAAAATTCATGAAAGGGAGAAGCCTTGCTGATGAAAGAATGTGGCAAACTTTTTTCCTGTTGCTCAAATTTTACTCAACACTAGATAATACATGCTGTATAGAATTCTTACAAATGTAAAAATTTTAGGAAAGACTTCAGTAATTGTACAAACCTTATTCAACATCAGAGAAACTGAAAACCCTAGAAATTTAAAGAATGTGGTAAAGCCTTTAGTGGAAGTTCAGTCCTTATGCAAAATGATACTATTTAAATTGTAGAAACTATTCAACTCAGAACCTAAAAATATTTTAATTGGATAAAACTTTTACAAATGTATAGAAATCAAAACTTTTTAACGTATGTATGATTATAATATGTGTAAAATAACTAGAGAGAACTCTTATAGGAAATGTGGCATGACCTAACTTGCTCAAAATGTGCTAGACATCATTAGTTGATGTGGGAGAAGGAAATTCTCATCACTGTCAGAAAATAATGCAGGTAATGCCTCCTTGAAGGGATATAAATTAAAATGAATTCATGTTTGGTTTGGTTTGGTTTGGTACCAGAGATCAAACTCGGGACCTTGCACTTGGGGAGGCAAGTGGTGGAACCATTAAGCTAAATCCTCAGTCCAATCCATGTTTTTTAAATAGCTTCACTTTTGAAAACTAAATGAACAACTCAAATAAATCATTGTATCAGTGGAGTAAGATTGCTTCCTGATGAGTTTTAAACTTTTTTTTCAGAGAATATACAGGAAGTTTTTTAAATACTTTCTTGCATTTATTTATTTATTTATTTATTTGTGGTACTGGGAATTGAACTCAGTGCTTTTGCAATGAGCTATATGTATAACCTTTTTTATTTTGAGACAGGATTTCACTAAATTCCTAAGTTACTGAGGCTGGAATTTTGATCTTCCTACCTCAACCTCCCAATGTATTGATTGGGATAATAGGTGTGTGTCACCAAGCTGGGCTTATTCTTGTAAATTACATTTTTATTTCTCATACTTTTGTAATTACTGGGAAACTGTAATGCTTAAAGGAGTATAATGGTAAGCCCTAGATTTTTAAAGTACAATTTATAAAATTTTGCCTTCTGATTGTTTTCTGAAGCCTACAAAGTATAGAGAAACTTTAGTATTCATTTACATTAACTAAAATGTACAAACATTACAATCTAATGATAAACCCTACACATAAGAGAACTATAGAAATACTCCTTGTTGGTATGAATTTGTATGTTTGTCTGTTGAAAAAGGACATATTGATACAAGATTATTCAAACAGTTGGTAATTTTACTACAAAACCAGAAAACTCACATATAATGAAAGACCTGTTTACACTGAACTCATTTACTCAGAATGCTGTTTTATTTGCCTGTCACTTGTGAAAGACCTAGTATGGCTTACTTGATGAAATTTTGTTTATATGTCCTGTTTAGGAATTTTAAGAATAATTTTTATAATATCTAATGGTATTGAGAAGTTAATTTGAAAATCTAATTTCTCAGTGAACATGTTGTTAATTTTTATTTAATTAGTTTAACTCCACTTATTCTGTCTCAGAATACTTTTAAGCCATTTGTAATGTATTTTTTTAATTTGATAAGTGACATCATACAAGTTAATGAATTTACTGAGATAATTTGTTCCGGTGAAAACTGGGGAGGCTTCATAACTCATGGAGTTGCTTTAACATTTGTATGAAAAAAAACAACAGAGCTGGATGTCACTTATTTATAAAGAGTCTCCATAATTAGAAAACGATTACTGACTGTTATGAATTTATTGATGTATTGTAAAAAAGGAAATATCCAATGTGAATAAATGGTACTTACATGTGGAAAGATGACACCTATTCCAAGGATACACAAACTTTCTGAATTTAAGAAGAGGAATTTTTTTTTCATTTCCTAATATTTAGAATGTTATCAGTTCTGGATTCATTTGTGTAGCCTTGGAACAGTTATCCTCACTTCCACATGCATAACTTTTATTTCTTCAGCCTTGGTGCCCCCCCCCATGAAGCAAGAATGTGTGAGAAAACTCCATACTGTTGTACATAGTGGCTCCACTGATTTCCATACCCACAACTAGCATGTAACAGGTCTCCTCCCTCATCATCAACAGTTTTCATCTTTTGCATTTTTCATAGTAGCCGTTCTACCTACACTTGCTATATCTAATCGGTAGTGTTAAGCATTTTTTCTTGTGTATTTTGAACATTTCTGTCTTTTGAGAAATGCCTGTCTGTATATTTTGACAATTTTTAAATTGCATTATTTGGTTTTTATTTTTGTCATTAACTTTTTGATACTCTGACATTGCTAATAACGTGTTAATTTTAGGATGAATGAATAATGTATTTAGAGTAAAGCTCACTATGTTATGTTTCCTCAGCTTATACTTTGTCTTCATATTTACTCTTTCATAACTTTTGTTGCTTTCCATCAGGTTTTTATTTTAGAGCTTGTAATTATTAGTCAGGCCTTTCTGGAATAGTCTAAAATTTCAGTTCTTAATCGCAGTCCTCATCATATTGTTACATTATAAGGGTTGAGTTCAGCCTTCATTGACCAAAAGCTGGTAGCGAACAGCAATGTGCATGGTTGGAAAGGGGCACATAAATGCAGCTCCTATTTCCATTTTGTGGCAGAAATTTATGTTCTTGGCAAGGGCAAGCACCAGAAAGCATGAGAGGGGAAATCATACTTTGGTTTCCACTAAGGAAATTCATTGTTCTTATACCTCAACTGTGATAAAAGCCAGGGGAGGGTGATCTTTATTGTATCATGAAGTTATTCTTGCTGTTAGTGTGGAGGTATTGGATGAAGGGTTTGTATGAATAACATTGAAGTAAATTCTTAATATACATATGTGATTTGTTGAGGTGATCTTGCCTGGTTTAAAAAAAAAGAAGAAGAAAGGAAATATATTTTAAAGTGCAAGTTCCCATCATTACCAAACCACTATGAACATAAAAATTGGCAACTAGCCTTTAAACTAGGGAAGCCTCTGACAGGTGTCTAATTTCTTCCTGGGCTTCCAACTTGCCTTCCACAATTTTTGGGGTCCAGAATTTCCTTTCTCCCAAATCAACCTGTAGCACATTTGCTTTTTGTTCTGGGTCACGAGTTGCACTGTGGGCACTGAAATAATCTAAAAGGATCGCAATCATCTGTTCAAGCTCTTTTTAAGGGACCTAATGTCTTCCAATTTAAAACTGACTTAGATACTCTATAACCCAGAAACCCGACAAAACACTGTCAAATCAATTTATTTGGCTTGAGATGGTTGACTTCAGCATCCTCTTTCTAAAAAGATAAATGTGGGCCTGGAATTTAGCTCAGTGGCACCACCACCTGCCTCGCAAGCCCACAGACGCAAGTTTGAGCCCCCGTACCCAAAAACAAAGCAGAACAACAACAAAAAAAAATGTGCAGCAAGCACCCATTGATTTAACATCTCTTAAGTGCCCTAAACTTGTAGTTTCACATTCTCATTTTAGGGCCTAGGAGTTTATAGTAAAATAGTGTACATGGGAGCAAGTCTCTGTTTCCTCTTGTTTTAGCAATGAAAAGAAAGAATACTATTTATATACAGAGTGAATATAATGCTTGGCCTCTGCCTAGGATCCAAAGCCATGACAAGATTTTTGTGCTAAGGGTTTATAACAATACCAGAAAGAAGGAAAAAACCCAGGGAAATCATTTGCTAAATGAAAAGAGATCAGCATTTTCTTTCTAAAGGCAAAAGCAGTCTTTGGGTTGGGATTGATTGTCTCTGTTTTGTCTCCTGACCTGCTGCAACATGTATGGTTCCTAGTAATGCAGCATCTAATTAAAAACAAAAGAACCAGTATCAAACCAGTGCTTACAGTGTCACCGTACTATGTCTTCACCCACCATCAAATGGAAGTGATTCGTGAACCATACCAGTTTTTTGGAATCCACAAATGCCCCGTAATTAACCACAAATATATTGCCCATGAGCCAGGTACTCATGTAATCTTTGCACACATTTTACCCCAGAGTTAGTTGATTGGGGTGAGGACTGTCAAACCTGGATGTAGAAGTGGTCCTGCAAGCAACAGGTTTCTTCCCAATTCTGACAGCAAAAACTGGAATCTGCTTCATGGTGAGCTACTTGGGCATCAGACCAGGGTTACTAGAGGTACTCTTGTGAGCGCCTGGAAGCCTTGGGCTATTATGCTGGCTGGCAACCTCTTATAATCTTCCTTGAGCCAGTACGTAGAGGGTGAGCCATCTAGAGTGTGTCCTCACAAGGAATCCCCCTGGTTAGTGCCCATAAGTGCATTCATGTGGTTTACTGTTTCTTGTCAAACTAATAGATAACAGTTGCTTCATTTCTTATTCCAAAAAACAAAAGAGCTGTGGTTCCTTCCACGTAAGGTATTTCATAATAACAGCAAGTGGGTTACTTGAATTCAGCATCATGTGGTCAGTAGGAAGAATGGGTGGTGTATATGTAAAATTATAGTTGTATTGTGATGTGTTTTAATATCAAATAGGCAAAAAGAAAGTTACATAGATTGTTGGGGAGTTTTCTTTTGTGCATACTTAGGGAGGACCTAATACTCCAGTGTAACAAGTCTAGAGCTCACTGCTCAAACTGAGGCCTTATGCAGGTCTCCTCCCACCCTTTAATACCCCCCATAAAACAGCAACTGAGACTTGTCAGTGCTTCTCCCATCTTGTTAGTATTCATAATTCTTACAAATCAAAAAGCAGGCAAATAGGACCAACATTCTGAATGTGCTGGTACCTTAATTTCTGTCTTGTTACATGCTAGGTTTATACAGTTTTCCCACCATTTCTTCAGATTCAGTAATTGTTGTTTCAGAAATGTAAATATAACCTCAATAATATGAAATCCCTCTGAACTACTTAAAGGCCCTCTCTTTGTCCAATTCATTGTTAGTTCTCACTCTAGGTAGGCTTCAAAATCAATGCTAGGGGAAAAATTCGAAAGATGAACGTTACAATCTAAGTACTAATATGAATTATGAGATTACTTGTACACAGCTTGTGTATTATAGATTCAGCTTTCTCATCAGACATGCATGCTCAGTAAATATTGCATATGAATACATGTTTCACATATGTAGAATTAGACATAAACTGCCATATCTAGCCATCTATATACTAAAGGCCAG